AAAATACGTGGTTTCCGTGTATTTTTTTATCTGCTTGTTTATCTTTCTACTGTTGACTCACTTCTACATAGCATTCGAAAATGCTCCGTTTCTTTTACATAGGGCAGACAAAGCGTTAAAGCCTAGCTTAAGCTTCAAAAATGGGGGTTCCAGATAAAAAAGGAAAGTGCACTTTCGATACTTAATTATTTCGCTTTTCAAATCAAAAAGTTGTTGAAGCAATTCAGAACATTTGCGCGGTGTACATAATTGAAAGTTCTGTTAAAAATTGTTTTTACGTTCAAAGATGGGATCTTGCACCTGAAGGATGTATCTCGTTTCGGTCGGCCGCCCGAAGCCGGTAACGATCTCAGCTAGCAAATAAGCTGTGAATACTAGCCTCGTATCAGACAACTCGAGTATCTGATTTTTTTCAACTGTTGTATATATATATATATATATATATATATATATATATATATATATATATATATATATATATTTATAGGGTAGAACATTCAAATTAGAAAAACTTTCACGGGCTTCTTCTTGTAACGGCTATGAGCTTGCCCACTATGTTCAGTACCAAAGGGAAACCTATACTTTCTGAAACAAAACATCGAACGCATGATATAGTTCGAAATAAAGCCTTACTTTTGAATTTGAACGAAGACCGGTTATTATCCAATGTGGTCACGCAGAACAAAACCAAAAGTATATGCTTTCTTCTTCGCGTGAAATCAAGGGTCTACTTAATTGGCAGTTTTGGTGCGACTTCTGAAAATTCGACGAAGGTGTCCGCAAAGCAGACCGAAAGATCCTCAGTAGCTTATGGATTTTAAGCACTAGAAAATTCATCGACGTAGCCCAAAAAGCTATTTTGGCACACCTGAACATTTCATATCAAAATTAACAGTCGTTTTGAGGAGCGGAATATCAATTGCCAATTAGACAGCCAAGATATGCTCCAACGGTTAGCGTTCTTGAAATTTTCTGCGACTTTAGTACTGATTGACCGTTTCGAGCCCTCACATTTTTAGGATCTTTTAGCTGCTATCAACACAAAGTTTGGTTTTGCTCAAATTTTTTGTATGTAAATGTAGTTAAAGGAGGCTTTATATCTATCAGTATTTTTTGACACACGGTTGCTATTGGAAAGTTATGCGCGGATTAACGAAGGAATATTATAGTTGTTTTGAATATGTATATACAATCGCCATGATGCGGCGGGAGAAGTATGTTTCAGGTTAATATTATAAGGGCAAATAAAGACTGTTGCTCCCTACAACTGCCTAACTTCAGGATATACCTCTTAGTATAATCAAACCACCAATCTTCACCTGTCGCTTATCTTCCTTGTCACTATTCGTTCATATTATAGTTTCGAGCAAAAGTTGCCAGCTAGAATAGTCAAACAGGTAGCGAGCCAGAAGCTGAAATCACCAAAAAATCTGGCATCCTAACAGCACTGTATTTCGTATTTTAACGGGCCTCACGCTTACTCGTGCATATGGCGCCCGAACAAAGCTCTGCGATCAAACGGAAAAGTACAACTATGAACTGAAAGCAACGTCACGTTTCTACACCATTTAACTTGATTCAAGCCTGATGTGCTTAGTCTTGAACATGTTTACCACAGAAGCTTACATAAGTTTGAACACCAATACCGCTTGTGCCATTGAGTAGATTACATAAGCTTAAGTATCGGCGGCTTTTGTGCAATTATGTAGATACGAGCTAGACACGTGAAAATTCGAAATTAGTAATCAATTCTTTAGCAGATAGTAAGATACAGAAAACATCTTTTCTTTTAAAGGAACCACAAGCCTTCTTATCACTAGAAGTCGAAATTTATGAAATAAATGACCTGGCAGATACCATGAAAGAAATGCATGAGCGTAAGAGCATAGCTGCGTCGATAGGAAAAGCGATATAGTACACAAAGACAAATTGCGTATCTTGGCACAACTTGAAGCTTTACTAACGCTCTACCTGATCTAACTGGTAATATTATAGAGAATTCTCGAAATAGCGACTGTTACGACACGCCGACGAAAGGAAGAAACAGATAATTCACATTTTGAGTATATTCGAAATTATTCTTGGGATCTATCCTACCGGAAAAGGGCTGACCCTACAAAGTCGACTGCTTCCGAACACTAGACGCGAAACATTGTCTTACTGCATGTCTTCTTGAACACGGAAATAATTCAATTAGCCTGGAAGGGTAAGCGTTGCTTGACAACGTCTGTAATTGAAGTTTGTTTTTTTTCCTAAAAATAAAGGAACGCCTTTGTATCTAAGACTCTTTGTTGTGAGAATCCTTTCCGCGAATATTACCTGACTGAGCGTAACTGATAAATTATCTAGCTAAAATTATGCAACTGAAGTACGGTATGCACTTTTACCGTGAACCGACAGATATCTAATTGATTTACTCAAGGTTCTTATGATATAGATTAACGCTGTGAATTCAATGTACGCAACCCACAGGTTTGTACGTTCTCAACCAGGAATCTTTATATAACGTCAGATTTTGTCTCTAATGTATTTTACTGTTTTCGGTTCCGGTACTATTTTTAATGATCTGAAATTAATTTTCAAATAGGAAGCCGGCATAACACTTAGATCAAGTGAATGTCAATGTAAAAACGAAGATGCAATGTGAACGTCTTGCTTTATGTTTTGCCTCGCAAAAAATGGCTTTTTAGGAAAAAAAAATTCTTATTCATATCAAACTGCTTTTTCACTCCTATTCATTTCACGCGGTGTCATGTACACACCTCTATGAGCAACGGATTTTGGAATCATTGAGCCAAGCGATAGAGACGGGGCCCAGATGGGACACAAAAATTGTCAATTGTATCTGGCTTAATAATCCCCGCCCAACTGTTGTGGAACAGCCTCCGCAGAAGTTCGCAAGGTGTTTAACGTTCATCATATAACTAATACACGTTAAGAACAACAGAATTTTTAACAACAAAATAATGCGCATTATAAATGATTTGAACGTATCTTGATAATTCTTTTTTAATTGTTTTAGAACAAACCCGATGTGCATGAAGTGTTTAATTCGGACTTCTGTGCTGCATTATATTACCGTATCGTGAATTCAATTATCGTCCATTATTGTTATTAACGTCCTGTCGGAGAATTACAGGGAGGTAAAGGGCCAGAATGTAGGTTACCGCAGGTATACAAGCCCTTTCACACGCTTTAAAGTGTTAAATGAGATGTAGATAAATCGCGTGTTTGTCGAACATTTGCAATAACTTGTTTGTGTAATGGAATACGATATATGGTGCGTGAATGGGGCAACGCTTAGATAGTGGCAGCTGGCTGGGCTAATGTACTAGGTTTGTCAAAATTCATCTGAGGCCCGTTTTTGCTTCATGCTTTCCTTTGTCAGTTTGTTTTTTTTTGGTGACAGATAGCCAAGTTCTACATGTAGTTAGACGATATTGCTCTACTAGAGTCATTCTTCATCTGTCACAAAATTTCATTCTTATTTGAGTCTCCAAAAGTGTGTATGCTCTGTTACGAAAAACAATTTTTTACACCCGTATTATTGCACATTTTTCCAATACAACAACAAACGCTAGAAACCCAGCATATTTGTAGCACGCATAGAGAACTTACAGAGCCAAAAGGTCTAAGCTTATCCAACAAACAGTTTTATCCAAAAGTCGAGCCAGGACGAAACTTAAGAACCGCTCGTAATGCTGCGTTCTTTAGATGTTTTTTCAATAGTGCTCTTAACTATAGAGCCGTTGTCGTACCCGCCATACCAGTTTCAGATTATTTCGACAGCTTTCGATACGGATGAAAAACGAATATGGAAGGTTGACAGTGATGTTTTTGTTACCCAATATGCCTATGCTTAGAGCTTGAAGTGAAAAAAGGGGGAACATATTGTACCTGGACGAGACGCTAACAACAGAAGGTCAATGAAAGAGCTTTTTAATGGTCAGTAATAGCCGACTCTCTGTAAATAAAGGATTAGTTTTGAAAAAAAATACATAATACAAAGGGGGCGTCACCTAAGTACGTGTAAAACTTATACATTATTTAGTTTTTGGAATCAGATAATTGGATCGAGTAACAATTAAAGTAAATTTCTAAGCAATGATCTATGATAACTGAATAATTTAATTTAGTGTAATAAATTATTAATGAACAGGTACAGTGAAAAGCGTGCCAGAGTTGAAGGACAATATAGATTTTTATTCTATTTAAATATGATGCTTTGGCCGTTCCGGTATTACAGGTTATTCATACCGAGGTAAAATAATTATTTTGTAATGAATTTGGCAGATAGGTAAAAATGTTCGCCTTTATTATTTAAGTTGAACGCATTAGAAGATATTTTTATCGGAGGGCTATTTAACGGAGAACACTACAACATTTGTTGTGGTCGCTTACCTCACACATTTTGTAGGCTTACTTTGGTCATAGTCTTAGGTGTACGTAGTGTGATGTCTACTTTAAAGGCCTGTCGATTTTTCGTATAGCGAAAGTTACGCATGATACGTGTGTATGGTTGTTAATAGAAGAGACATATCATACTTTTTCTTCGCTATCGGTCCAGACTCAGCCCGAGAGGAGAATAATAGGCGCCTACGATGTATTATACATATATAGAAGAACTGGCTTTTGGTACGGATGATAAAGGTCATATTGGTTTGGCCAAGCAAAGATGAGCAGACGGCGCATGTAAAACCAGGCTCTGCGAAAGAAGCGTATACTCTTTTGTGTTATACCAACAGTAGCAATGATTCTAGCAGGCGGGGGCGGAGGAGGTCCGCTTTGACGGGAACAGCCCGGCAGGTCAACGGCGATCCACGGAACCAGCTAATAGTAAAAACATACCCGAACCGCATTCTAACGTTTGATTTCGCAGAATCGAGTTATTTTCTTTGGAACGTATCGGGCAATAGCAAACCCGACACACCCGCCTTTTATCGGTGAGCTTCTAATTTTTATCATAGCTGTATATCATTCCTTTGCCTGTGTGAGTGCCAGCTAGGCAGCGTACGCACACTAAGAATATATAAATGACGTTTGCGTGCAGCACTAACCATGGACACGGTCGTTGAATATGCTGCCGGCCTGCTGCGGCATGTGTAACGATGCAAGATTGGAACAGTTATCTGTTTTGTCGTATGTACATGATGAAGCTAGACGATTTCGACATTATGCTGTAGTAAAAGCCAGTGACATTCACAGTGCTAAGGACGCTAAACTGAATTGGCCTTACGCTGTTTGGCGACTCGTTTGCGCGCAAGATACTACTCTCACCGTCAAAGAGGAGACGGCGGCGGTGGCGGTGGCGGTGGCGGCCGCTGCCGTGGCCGTTGCGGGGCCAAGAACTAGAATGAAAAAGGGAGAATAAGAAGAACTCTCGGAAAATCAGGAAGCACCGCAGCAGTAACAGCGCAGGTTTTTGTACAATGGACGAACGATTCCATCTGTCCAGGATTAGGACCCGAAGGAGAAAAAACGGAATAGAATTAGGGAAACCCAGTTGGCGATGTTAACAAGCATTTTGGTTGCCTATGGTCATCGTAAATTGTTGAGCGAATAGAAGGTTTTTTACCTGCACTCCTCACAATTATTGCAAACAAGGAACGAGAACAGGCGCTCTACTCCAATATGGCCAATTATCGTTTTTCCTCTTTATCTCCACGTCGTAAAAGCCTAAATCAAACAGGTAATCAGTAGGAGTTTTGTTCATGAAAGAGAAGAAAAAAAAATGACTGTATGAGCTGATTTAACTAGTGAAAGGTAGAATAGAAGGAAATGACCGCAGAATGGCCACTGACGGCTATTGGTTAGACGCTGCGCACATGTGGCGGTTACATTTTCAAGAATTGATCGTCGTCGCTGGCGTCATAGAGGGTGACAGGCGAGGGTGGAGGGCCCGGAAGGAGGCACGGTTACTTGAGCACTGGCAGCTGCAAAGTCGCAGTTACTTATTAGGATCTAGATGATACAATGTAAATGGATCTAGATGATACAATGTAAATGAAACGAAGCTGGTGGCTGTACTATTGGGTTGCGATCAATGCGAAGGGGCGGTGGGGCTTCTTAAAGGGGATAGAGCAGGCACACGCATCACGTAGTTAATGCGTCTTTTCGTGTTCTACGTTTTTGCTTTCACAAATTGTGGGCTTCTTTGCGTGATCCAATGGGGTGTTGTTACAGCTCTATCAGAAGAAACATCACGAGAAGAATCGAGCGGAGGAACATTCAACTGAGGAGATGGGATTGCACAGAAAATAGCAGTCACCATCCGATACGTATATTATCAGTCGTAGCTTGCGATAACGGCAAGCAGATTGATTTGTGTGTATGGTAGTAGCATTGATCGGGTAAAGTAAAAGGATAGAAATAAATGACAGGAATTTGAAAAATTGTGCCGTTAAAAAAGGGAAACTATCGATATAAACGATAAATTTAATTTGTCAGTCTGTAAATTTATTCTGAGCTGAAATGTACGATATGTAAATGTACACTCGATATTATACCAATTATTTATTATTATAAGTGATGTTTTATTGTCTTCATCAGTAGCTGTTTTAACTTAGTAACGTATCATTGTGGAACTTTTTTACTCTGCGTGCTTAGTCTTTGCATATAAATAATGAAGAGGACCTTTGAGTTCAGCTGGTTATAGCGTGAATCGATGGGCGAATGTAAGGAAAACGTAGATATCGAAAACTGCCTGCCGAAATGGAATCTTTGTAGTGTTATCTTTATTTAGCAGGCTAGGGGAACATAAACGCACGCAATGCAACATGAAACGCTTGGTCATCTCAGCTTGCCTAAGTGGTGGAAAAACACGTTATTTCATAATAAGCATTGAAAACCCTTTAAATTCGACAGTATGTAACCATGACGTCTGATATGTTCTCACAAATAGTGGAACCTATACTTTATACAACAAT